AAGCATATGCACAAAATTAAGCGGTTTATGCAGTCGAGTATTAAAATTAGCTTGATTAATTGTTTTGCACGTTTTACAAAAAAAATATTTTGTAAAATATACTAAACTTTGACGTTTTATTTTAACAAGTTTATAAAACAAAAAAAGTATATTTTTAAACAATGTTTAATAAAATATTTTTATTATTAGAAACAATAATAAATTAAATATTAATACAATAGTTGATGTATGATTGACGTTATCAAAATAATTAAATTTATAACAAATATAATTTTTATGAATGTCAAGTTTTAATAACTAAATTTGACGCTGAAATTAAATTTTTAATAACATTTCTAGTAATTTTATTGAGTAAAAATAACTGAACAAAATTTGATTAATAAAAACGAAAAGTTAGTACAACTTAGTACAAGTTAGTACAACGAATGTCACTGTGCACTGATTCATTTGCAATGCAGACAAGTCGAAATGCAAGGGGCCTTTTATATACCTGGGAAGTAGCAATAGCAGAACCAAGAGGAGAGAAACNTATTTTTAATAACATTTTTAGTAATTTTATTGAGTAAAAATAACTGAACAAAATTTGATTAATAAAAACGAAAAGTAAGTTACAACGAATGTCACTGTGCACTGATTCATTTGCAATGCAGACAAGTCGAAATGCAAGGGGCCTTTTATATACCTGGGAAGTAGCAATAGCAGAACCAAGAGGAGAGAAACTCAAATATGAGATGCGGCAGCTTTACATGTAACTATATTGAAAGAAATGAAAAAAAGATAGTCTTTGGGATTTTATTTGAGAAAAAATTAAAGCAACTCAGAATTGATATATGAAACTAAAAAGTTTTAATTTTTATAAACAAATAAATTGACTAAATATTGTTTTTTGTTTTATGACTAAAAATAGGTCACAGTAATTTAAAAAATGTTTTTATTGTTAAAAACTTGCAATTTTTGTATAAAACAAAATTAAAAACCCGATTTTATTGAATTCATCAAACAAAAATTGCAAAAATAATTTAATTAAGCAAGTTAAATTAACAATGAAAATTTTTTTTGCTGCAAACAGTTTTAGTGATAAAATTGCCAATTTTTTAAAAGAATTTAATTTAAAACTGTGTGATTTCATGCAAAATTTAAACGTGCATAAAATTTTGTTTAGCAATGACAAGTGCAAACATAAGAAAAATTAAAGCAGAAACTTTGGTCAAGTTTTTTACTAAAAATGTTTTGAAAATGAACAGGCTTTATATTCTGGTAATGACATTGCTGCTTGTTACCGCCATAACTATCATCATTATATTATTCAGCCACTTAACTGTAAATGACTTCAATGTGCTTCTACGACAGTTTACAAAATGTCGTTAAATAGTTTTAAAAATAAAATAAAATAAAAAATTTTAACAAAAAATATAAATTCTGGTTAAATTATTATTAATTCTGTTTAAAGGATTACCGTAAAAAATAAAACGTAACAGTTTTGAGTCAAAGTAACAATTGAATATTCCAAATTTTTATATAGTATTCAATAAATAAATTATAAGATTGTGTTTACCAAATTATTTTATGAATTAGAGTTCAAGCACTTCCTTCTAGAGCATTGCAATTTTAAGCCAAGTACAAAACATTGACAAAATCAATACAAACGTTTTTATAATACTCACAAATCAAAATTATTTTTTAAATAAACCAGGTTTTTCCAATTTTGTTGTTTAAAACTTTTGAAAATGGTTTTAAATTTTTTGTACAATGAAATTTTTCAAATAATTTTTTTTCAAGACGATTTTAAATACAAATTGAAGCACACCATAACACTTTGCTTATTAGCATTAGTAATACTGCGCATTATTGGTTGGATTTTTATGATTGACTATCCTGAAGAAAACCTTTACCCATTAGAAAATTATGATCCAATTGCTCAAAAAATAAAATTGCATTCTCATCAGTATGATTCTTTTTTCCTTGCTTCACTTATATTCTTTTGTATGTACATTTTTGCAATTAACTACAAAATGTACTTTACAAAAGCTGATCATTTAATTTGGCAAGATCTCAATTCGTTAGTAATACAATCTTATGATGCTTATGTTAAATCAAAAAAGTCTCAAACTGAAATCAAGCAAATTTGTGTCAATATGCAAAACAAAAAGTTTATGAAATTAAACAGGAGTGATTGGTGTTTATTTATTCCAAAAACATTTTTAAAGTTATACAGTTATTTTTACGTGAAATTAAAGTTGTGGAGCAGTTTAGATTATATCAATTTAAATGTATTTTTAAGATGCAAATTAATTCTGTTTAAATCTTTATCGGCACAAAACAGAATTAAATATTTAAAATGGATGCTATTGTTTAAATATTCAAATTTATTTACACTTGTCAGTATTGGTAAGTTAGTTGTTTTATAAAAAAACTGATTCTTATAAAAACCTTTTGTGATTATTTTAATAGTAACCTTTTTAATCTACTTTTTCATATTGTATTTAAGCTCTTTTGTTCAAATGTTTCCCCTTTGGTTCTTTCCGTTTTTGATGTTTGACATTATTTGCATTGACTACATTGCCTTTAATTTACTGAAAGTCTCCTTACTGCTCTACAACACGGCCTTCTTTATAACCAATGCAATTCGAGACCACATTTATGAAGCAAATTGTTTGCTTTTGAAAGTGGCCAACATAAAATCTCAAACTCAGTCGCAATATAAATTTCTCAAAACGATTAACTACTTTTTAGCCGTGCACACTGAAATAACAGTTCAAGTGCAGTATGTCAACCACAAAGTTTGGGCAAACATTTTGCTTGTAGCACTGGTGACACAGATTCCAATTAACGTCTACTTCTGCTATCGACTCATATACACTCGGAAATCGTACTCGGCTCTTGAAAATTCTGTTATTTACATTATTTTATTTATTCAATTTTGGTTTGTCTCTGGCTCACTTACACCACTAGCAAAATACAGTCGTGAAATCCACTGTTCATGGCATTGCCTGCCAAGCATTCAGAGGCTTATAAGTGGCAGATACATTATCTTGAAACTTAAGTATCTAAACTTATTTGAACGGATCACATGTAAAGAAATGAAATATGGACACACTATTGGGCATACAAACAAGACAATTACATATTCCACAATTTTAGAAATATTTGTCATTTATTTTGGATTTTTACTCTTTGTTTTTAAATTTTTGCATCGTTTTCAAATGCATTTGAACATGTCAAATAATGTTGTTTAGATAATAAAAAGTTTTACAAATTGAATCTTGTAATCAGTAGCGCCAACACAGAGAAGAATATGGTTGATAGCTGTAATAAAATGTTTTAAAAACAAAACAAAAAATCTAAAACTAAATACCGTAATAGTTGTTTGAATATTGACAGCGTTCCCAAGTAACTCAATGCTAATGTTAGAGTTGACGCAATTCAAGTATCGAAAAGTCTAAATAAACAAATTTTTAGTACTTTTAATGCTTTATTGAGCAACAAACCTCAATTATAACTTGTTTTCCCGCTTCAAAGTTACACAACCCTTCAACTGAAATTTTTTGATAAACAACATTTGACAAGCTTTTAGCAGCATCATTAATTTTTCCAGCATAATAAGAGCAAAAAACAATCATATGAAAGTAATTAAGCGTCAGAAGAAAAAAATACAACTTTATGTAAACCCGAATGTCGGTGTAGAAAGCCATGTAAAAGAATTGCGTAGCCGTGCAAAATCCGGCAAATAAAACAATAAGGTAAATTCGTTTTAAACAAAAATTTACTTTGTGTATCAAAATGAAAATATGCGAAAATTCTTTATATGAAAAAAGTAGTTTTTCATATATCAAGTCACTGCAGGTTAAGTTTTTTGAAAGAACAACTTTAGTCAACTTTCGATTAAATTGAAGAATAAAATGTTTTAAAAGCTTGCAAAGAAAATAATATTCGTTTGTAAAAATAGTAATGTAGTAAATGTTTAGAGAGATAAAATAAACTGCGTAAACAATGCCAAAAATTAAACTGTAAGCCGAATATTTATCAGATCTTTTGATTGCTAAAATTGTCAAAATAATAACTGTTCCCACAGAAAGAATAAAAAATTGTACAAAAGAACGTTTTTTGCAAGCATACAAAATTTTGTAGCTTTTTGCATCAATTTTAGCAAATTTTAATTTTTTCAACTGTTGATCAGCTTCTTTTAGCCAGTGATGGTCATCAAAAAAGAAATTGGTAAAAAACATTAGTGCTTGAATGCGAAATAAAATGTTCAGTGACCTTGCAGACATTGGAACTCGATCCTCAAAAATTAAATAAACAATGTCACCAGTAATTAAATACAATTGAATTTTTTCTTCTTTTGTTTCATACCAAACGGAACAAATTATTGTAAAAATTATTGTGTAAATAAAATCAATAATTAACAAAACATAAATAAATTTAAACCACTTGTGTTCATGCTTGAATTTACAAGACTTTTTAAAGTATATTTTTTGTTTAGGTTTTATTCCGCATCGGTTAAATAAAATATTTAATAAATCACTTATTTTATTGTTAGATCTGACAGTAACTTTTGTTGAACATGTAATTTTAGACAATTTTTTAAAAACTTGTGCTGAATATAAAGAAGAGAAATACTGAAACATTTTAAAATTTCTAATAAAAAAGAAATTCAATTTCCGTTTCTTTTATACAGAGTAAACAATTATTATTTTCCTACTGANTTGACAGTAACTTTTGTTGAACATGTAATTTTAGACAATTTTTTAAAAACTGGTGCTAAATATAAAGAAGAGAAATACTGAGACATTTTAAAATTTCTAATAAAAAAGAAATTCAATTTCCGTTTCTTTTATACAGAGTAAACAATTATTATTTTCCTACTGATGACTTTAATGATTGATAGTTTTTAAATAGTTGTTACTTGTCAATAATTAATTTGATAAATAAACCATAAGTAACTTATAAGTCACAAAAACAAAACATTTAAAAACTTTAGATTAACGGCATTTTCATTTTTACTTGAACGGCACTTTGTCAGCCAATACCACCGCCTGATTAACTAAAGCAACTAAATGTTGACCTGATAGAAGTGCAAGTTTTTTTAATAAAAAAGCATTAATTTAAATAAAATCCAGACTTACTTTGGGGTTTCTCCACCAAATGAGCACCCTTCAACTTGGTGAAAGGCTCTTCCACTTGAGCGAATACATCGCCGTTGAATTTGTCTTGATTAAATGCAGTATTTGTCTCTAATGAATGAATGAGCGAGCGAAGGAAGAGCGCCCATCTAGGCTTGTAGTAGTCCGAGACAATGCCAGACCAGTGTTTGCTGGCGTAATCAATAATCTAGTCAATACAGTGCTGATTAGTGGGCAAGTGGTCAACAGCGACAGGCACAGTGCTGCATGGAATGCAGTTCAGTGCAGTTTAGTGCTTACATTTCCCTTCGGACCCCACAGTGTCACCTGGTTCCTCGCCTGCCATTCGTTGTAGTCCTTTTCAGCGGTGTCATTCCCAAGCGCCCGCGCACTGTTCACCCATCTGCTGAGGAGAAAATGCTCGCTGCATTGAAGAAGGCTCTCTAACAGGTCAAAAAGGTGCAGTATTTCAGTGGTGGTAGCTTTTAGTTGACCAGTTTGCCGCTTATTAAACTGCGGGAACATCTTCTCTTCACGGTAATAGTCAAATATTAGCTGCAAGGTTTGCCGACTTAAATCGACAATATCGTAGACAAAGGTCTCTGAAGTGTTAACAATGAAGGGATTGGAATTCAAGAAGGAGGACATCAACTTTAGTGCAGCAGTGACATTGGCCGGGTGATACCACAGAGGCGAATGATGCTGCAGTTGTGGTCGTCTGTTGATGGCGTACTGCCCAAAGTTCCATATGCCCACAGAATCGTTGTACACGCTGACCCGAAGTAGTTGCCACGCTTCGTTTATCTGACTGTCAAAAAGGCCATACCTGCGAACTGTGTATTCAGAAAACCACTTTTCAGCGTCAAACTGGGCCTGGTGGTGGATCACCTCGCTCATATACTCATACATGACTTCATTCTGCTCTATACCCTAAAAATGGTTAAATGAGTTTATCGTTTTTTAAATGTTTTTCTTGTACCAACCTCCATTGTCATTCCAATGCCCAACATGTTGTTGTACTTTTTGCGTGCAGAAAATACCTCACTAATTCGATTTACTGCTCCGTACATCCCCTAAATAAAAAAGAGTAGTGGTGTCTAATAATAAGTTCATCTTGAATTAAAAAGTATCTTCACGTACCTTTGTGCCACCAAAGTTATGGAGCATGCACCTAGAAAGCAGTGTGAACATGTAATTAATGTAATTGTATCGATCACTCACCAAATAAACGGCTGTCCGTAGTAGCCTTCAAACTGAGAATAGACTGGCCGTATTTCACTGAACAAATCGAGAATGAGCATTTTGCCAATAGGCACTGACTGCACCATGGCTTTCACCTGGGGCTGCTTCCAAAAGCCTGAGTTGTCCACAAAAAGCCATCCCTGCATTACCCAGACACCACTCGGATCAGCTTCCAGAATACTCTCGTAGACTCCTTTGCCGCATTTGTGCAAGTATTCAGGATCACTGTGGCTTGGCGTCTCCTCATTAAACATGTCAATATTGTAGAAGTGATCAGAACCGTAAACCTTGATATACTCCTGAATGAAAAGCTTGTTAATTTTAGCAAAGTGTTCATCTTCAGGCTGCAAAAAGTAAGTGTGACTGTAGTTGAGTCCAAAGTTGTTCCAGTCGGTCAGCCGGTCAATCTTTGCCTTGGGCAAAAGCACCGCCAGAGCTCGAGGCACATGACCGGCAAAGCCGGGCGTCACTGGATACATTCCAAAAGCACGCGCTCTACCGAGAATCAGCTTCTGAAGGGCTTCCTGTTGACTGTGCCAGTGCTCTGTGAGAGGGCCGGACCAGCTTTGAATGTTGCCCATTCGATTCCAGGCGAGAAAAGCCGGCCCACTGAAGTAGTCCTCCACCTGTGCTCTGGTCAGGTTGAAGTGCTCAGTGAAGATCTTGCGGAAGATGGCCTCCTGTCCGTTAAAAGTCAGTGGCAGGTTGATGCCTCGCAGAGCCATCCAGTCCAGCTCCACCTGCCATCGGCTCCAGTCCCACCAGAGGTTAGAGTAGGAGGCCGTGCAGACATTCTGGTAGTAACGTAATCTGCAATGTGGTACATTGTCGTCAATAACATTGAAACATGAAGCTGCGACGTGATTTGTGCGGCCTACTTGTCCTGAATGACCACCTCAATGGTTTTGGCGGGCATCGGCAGAGCGTCCACAGGCAGCCGGTACAGCTGATTGCCTGACCAGGAGGTGGAGCAGTTGGCCACATGTCGCAGGTAGTAGTAGAGGCCATTCGCTGCCGCCACTCCCGTGTTAGCAGTAAAGTGAATTGAGTGATTAGCAACAGCTTCGATCTGGCAAAAACAATGCTCTGTTTAGTACCAAACATTTACCTCTGAAGTTGCAGTTCTCACCTTAAACTTATCGAGACGACTGCTGGTGAAGTGCTCGTCAATGTTCACAGTGATGAGATGAGCTTGTTTGGGCAACAAACGTTGGATCAGTCCACGGACGGTTTCCAGTTGCACTGAAGTGGATGCTTTAGGTTTCAGCGTGAGCAGGTGATCAAGTGGCCCACAGCTGATGGCTGAAAGGAATGCCAAACAAAACACCAACGAAATGTAAACAAATGCTTGTTTAGCCATATTTGTGCAAAGTAACGTCTACCTCTGAATGAAGTAGCTCTCCGCTGCTTTATACACTGCCTTATCGTTCAACTGGTATCCGCCAATGGATAAGGCAACACTC